AGTAAAATAGTATACTGTCTAGAGTTTGCTTGAAAACACTCCAGAAAAAAAAAAAAGTGACTTAGATGAGAGAGGTCAGAAAAATGTTGATTAACTGTTAGACTGTGTGATGGGTTATAGAAATACATCAGGTTAACCTTGGGATTTCTACTGTGCTGGAAAACCTCTATACATTAAAGATCAAGAAAGAAAAAATATTCACACCAGGTGTTGATAATGTATGCTCAGGGCCTGGGATAAGATAAGCACTTTTAACATCTTAAATATTTTTTCAACAAATGGATAGACAAACAGTGTTTCTTGTATCTCCCAGGTTTTCCTCCGCTGAAACAACTATAATACCTTCTTTGCTAGCCTATTCCTTCAGGTCTCCCCACTCCAATTTATTGCACGGGGAGCAAAACTAATGTCCTTGAAGAAAACTCTCCTCAGCTTCCAAGGGGCTGTTCAGTGCCTTGCAAATCAATCAGTGGTTTCAAGACTCCCCACTTGCCAGCCTCTCCTGGACTAACTGACCTCATGTCCATATGTACCCTTACAATTCCAGATCTGTTCTATCCAGACAAATCCCATGGGCTCTAGCTTTAATGTTAGAGAGCCACTTCCCAACTGTGTGGTCTGGAAAAACTAACTCAATGTCTCTTCCATTTTCACCTTAAAAATAGGTTACTACTGGGGCACCTGGGTGGCTCAGTGGGTTAAGCCTCTGCCTTCGGCTCAGGTCATGATCTCAGGGTCCTGGGATTGAGCCCCGCATAGGGCTCTCTGCTCAGCAGGGAGCCTGTGTCCCCCTCTCTCTGCCTACCTCTCTGCCTACTTGTGATCTCTCTCTGTCACATAAATAAATTAAAAAAATCTTTAATTTAAAAAAAATGGGTTACTATTTACTTGGTGGGGCTATCCGGGAAGCACCCAGCACCCTGCCCAAGGTAGGCTATCAGTGAGAGATAACTTTTGTGGTTATCATTAATAAGCTCAACACACTATTTGGGACTTCCATAAGTACATGTCCGGCACAAACACCTCCTTGTGTTTTATTAGCCACATCCTTTCCCTGCTTTTCTCAGATTCGACCCACTGGGTTGGGTTGTCTGGAACATGAGGAAATTCCATGGTGGTCGTGTGTCTGCTGTAAGGTTATTCATGTGCCCCTGTGCCTGTGAGGAGGGTCACCTTGGTCTATGGGTCAACCCCGAAGGCGGGGTGTTGTGTCGCACTTCTGTATAACTCTGACGACTGCAGAGCCTCACACATGGGGCCCACAAAGAATAACACTACCTTTCAAACTGTACAATTCCTTCCAGGAGGGTCTCGGGAGAACTTAAAATGAGCAAGAATTTCTCCATGAGACATTTATGAATAAAGTTATCTCATCGGGAGAAATCTGATCCATACCTAACCAACCTCCAGCCACCGGGGGAGTCCTTGACGAGATCTCAAAGCTGAAAGTACTTTCAGTGTTTTTCCTACTTTTCTGTCTTCCTAGCTGAGTATCCTGAAGCACGGGAATAAATGTACCGCATGCCTCAGAGGACTGGCGTCGTGCCTCAGTTCAAACCAGGTTAACAACAGCTTCCGCGACGAGTGGCCCCATTCTGCATGTAGGGCAGGGATTATCAACCCTCACCGGGTACTGGGACCATCTGGGGAACTTCCAAAAAAGACTTATTTCTTAGGCCTTATGCCAAAGATATGGATTTAATAGGTCTGGAATGGAACCTGGGAATTCACTTGACTTTGAAAAAAAATGTAAGTGATTTTAATGCACAGGCGAGACTGAGAACCACCAATCTAATGGTTAGGAGGGAAAAAGAGAGATAAGCAAGGGTTTGTGGTGGTCTCTTTAGGATGAACTGTAAGGCACTGGGGAGCCATGAGAGACCCTATGAGCAATGCGGGGATGCGAAGTAGAGAAAAAAAAACCCAGTCATTATGCATTCAAAGACCAAGTAATACAGGTGTTGGTATAAATAAAAGGGGTTTATCCAGGCAAAGGAAGGAAACTGCTGCTGTATCCTGTGACAGGATGTTTCGCAACCAAAGGGCCACCATTAGGGATCCGGAGAGGATGTAAGTGAAAACCAACCCTTGGTCTTCACTCCATTCTCTTCTCTTTCCCTTAAAATTGGCTCAATTGCTGACCTCAGCATGTTGTTGGCGTATCTGCTGTCAAGAATAAAGCTGAGTTTCCACATACTAAGATTTATGACTTTGGTTCAGAAATCTCTTAACAATAAAGGTTTCAGGGGATGCCTTTAGAAAAACAACCCGCTGCTATGATAATAACCATTGTCTTTAATCACATGGGCTCTTTTTCTGGAAAAATAATCATCCACAATTTCCAACATGGTGTTACCCAAAAGTGCTGAGGCAATGATGTTTCTTTATTGTATTACGATAATAACCCGTTCTGGAGAGACTGAAGTGAAATAGCCATCCTTAATCTCCACTGGTGGAAATACAAATTGGAATAATCTTTATAGAAATTGGACAGTGTGCTAGGAGCTTGGAAATAATTCATACTTTTTGATCTATTGCTATAGATCTATTCCTTAGAATGGACTTTAAAAAAATAATCAGAGATGTGATATTTGCAAACAAGTTTATCATAGAATACAGAATATGTATCAAAATATAACATATATATCTAATCATACCATATAAGTTTGCCATAAAATACTGAAAATTTGGAAGTAATCAAAATAAACGTCCAACAAAAGTGACCAGTTAAGGGGCGCCTGGGTGGCTCAGCGGGTTAAGCCGCTGCCTTCGGCTCAGGTCATGATCTCAGGGTCCTGGGATCGAGCCCCGCATCGGGCTCTCTGCTCAGTGGGGAGCCTGCTTCTTCCTCTCTCTCTGCCTGCCTCTCTGCCTACTTGTGATCTCTCTCTGTCAAATAAATAAATAAAATCTTTAAAAAAAA